CATTATGCGCCATCACGTCCCATAAACTGCCATTAGATTAACTTTTTTTAAAAAAAATCATGTTTAACTCAGGGCCAAAAGGATACGTTTGTACCTCTGTTGGGAAACATTTTCCATCAAAAACAAATTTACAAAGAATGTACATCACGGAAACAGGCCACTTAGCCCAAAAGGTCCGTGCTGGTTTTTATACTCCACGTGAGTCTTCACCCATCCTTTACTCCTGGTCTTCTCCTCTTCCTCGTATAAAGGTCTAGCTTCCTCTTGAATGCAATTTATACTATCTGATTCAACCACTGCTTCAGACAACAAGTTCCACAATCTCATACCCTCTGGGTGAAGCTGTTTCTCCTGAGTTCTCTTTTGTCTCCCCTAGTCGCTATCTTATATAATTGTATTCTTTGGTTGCAACCAGTGAAAACGGCCTATCTATGCTAACCTTATCGAACTCTTTTGGAATTTTAAAACATTTTTATTGAGTCTCTTCTTAAATGTCTTTTTCTAGTGAAAAAAAGGCCTAAACTATCCATTCTATCCTGATAACAGTAACCTGCCAGTCCTTTATTCATTCTAGTAAACTAATGCTGTATTTGTTTCACTGCTGCTATAACCTTCTTATAGTATAGACAACAGAATTGGACACAAAATTCCAAATGTGATCTAACCAAGGTTTTGTATACATTCAACATCACCTCCTCATTTTCAGATTCCATCGCTCTGGCTATGAAGCCCAACATTCACTGGACTTTTTTTATAGCCTTATCCAGCTGTGTAGCTACTTTCAGAGATTTGTGGATCGGAATCCCCAGATATCTGCACAGGAGCTTAATTAGTTAGTTGATTACTGTTATTTTTTAGTACATTTAACCAATGCAAACATACAAAAAAATCCACAAACAGTGGTGTGGCTATAGTTAATGTATTGATACGCTGTAACCAGCATTTCTTAATCACAAACAATTCCTGAGCTCAACCGAGCAGTCAGAGGAAGCCACCAAGCATGGGTCAAGGACCTTCCTCAAGGAGGGAAGGAAAAAAATACCTGGAGATACTTTGGGGCCCCCCTAGTGGGAAGGAATTTCCTGTCTACTCTGTCAGAGAACGGTGCATGTCTGATCAAGATGGAATAGAGTAGAAAAAGTAAATTTAACTACCAACCATAAATCCACAGAAAAAATGCAGCAAATTCTCCCACCTACGTATATCCTTTATGGCTTTTTTTTTGGTTCTAGCTGTTAGTTTTTACAGCATAGTGCCAGATGGTCTATCAACGTGTAAAGTTCCCAAAATAAGTTCCCAAATCATCAAACTTAAAAAAAGAGAAACCTACACCTTAACAACAATGGGGTTCAAAAAGCGCTCAAACGAGAAAACAGGATGTGGATTCCTGTAATAATAATCCTTGCATTTGATTATAGCTCTTTATCACGTCTTCAAGACGTCTCAAAGCACTTCACAGAATATACTGTAAAGTGAATTGACTGTATATATTGTGGGCGCAACGCGGCAGTCAATTGCACACAGCAGTGTTCCACAGTGATTAGAGCACTCGCCTTGCAAGTAAGAGGACCAGGGTTCGATTCCCGGGCAGGGTGAACTTGTAGACAAGTTTCCTTTTTCTACAAGCCTCTTTTTACCTAGTAGTAAGTAGGAACCCAGTTGTTAGTTGATTGGTGTGATCGCTTTCCGGGGGTAATAATCTATAATAAAAAATGTGGTCACTCAATTCACGACTGTTTGTGGGACATTGCTGTGTGCAATGGCTGCTGCGTTTCACCCACAAGATACAGTCAATTCACTGTACAATATATAGTGTGAAGCGCTTTGAGACATCTCAATGATGTGATAAGGTGCTGTATCAAATGCAAGGCTTATTATTATTATTAAAACCTCAACTTAAATGGAGCAAGTAGGAAAAAGTACCTCAGCATGTAAAGTGCATACCCTGCTGAGAACTTCACATATGTCAAACACACTCATGATAAGTCAGGTCCAACACAGAGATCGCCTCTCAGCGGTTTGACATGATGTACAATGGATTCTTGGGAGGAAACACACTTTACATGCTGAGCTATTTTCTTCCCAGTGCAAGACGCCACATTTGCATCCGTCTCCCATTCGAGAGCTGTTTCAAACCCACAGTAAAGTAAAAGAGTGACAAAACTGGGGTGACTAGTTGAGCCCCTTTGATGAATTGCACACTTTTCTTTTGTCGTTGTGACAAAGAGGAGGTTACAAAAAGCCAATCGAACGTCATGTTAAATTAATTTCTCAAACTGTATTAAATTGTCTTAGCACAGATAATTGGAGCTGGAAACTGACATCTGAAAAGGGACTAAATTAGCACCATATGAAAGGAACTCACAATCAGAATCCAGGGTCCTTCTCAGAGTAAAACAAATAGGCCATCTAGTGTTCATACGCAGTTATTATTCCACAGAACTTGCACACTCACTCGAACGTTAAAAGCATCTCATAGCCGGTGGTTTTTTCTAACTTGTGGTTTGTTTTACTCTTCTCTTAAAACAATCAGAGTTCAAGACTGAAGAAGTCTGGACAAAAAAAAATACCTGTCAAGAATCTCTTGATGGGATAAGATTTTTGTGGAGATGTTAAAATCCAGAGGAAAACCACTGACTGATTCAATCATAATTACAAGACCTGGGTTTGATTCCTGGCAGGGGAAATCTTGGGCAAGTTTCCTTACTTCACATGCCTGATAATAATCCTTCAAAAATATAAATAAAATAATAATTTGGTCACTTCAATCCACAACTGTTTGTGGGACAATTGGTTGCCGCGTTTTGCCCACAAATATACAGTCAATTCACTTTACAGTATATTCTGTGAAGCCTTTGAGACGTCTAGAAGAGGAGGCAAGCAATGAGTGGAACTGAAAGTCTAGGCTAAAGGTAACAAATGCGTTAACAAAGGTTTCGGTGGCATTTGGTGTGAGATAGGAGCAGAAGCAGGTAATAATAATAATCCTTGCATTTGATATAGCGCTTTTCAAGTCTTCTAGACGTCTCAAAGTGTTTCACAGAATAGACTGTAAAGTGAATTGACTGTATATTTGTGGGTGAAATTTGGCAGCCAATTGTGCACAGCAGTGTCCCACAAACAGTCGTGGATTGAAGTGACCAATTTGTTATCGGGTTTTTTCTTGAGGGATTATTATCAGGCATGTTGGAGTGAGGAAACTTGCCCAAGGTTTCCCCCTCCCAGGAATCAAACCCAGGTATCTCGCTTGTGAGGTGAGTGCTCTAACCACTGAGCTACGGGACTCCACAGTGCAGTGGTGCACACCTCTAATGCGGTGGAGGTTAAGAACTGTAGTCTTGGGGAAAGGTATTGTTTCACAATAATATCTGTCTTTCAGGTTTTCTCTTTTGGTCAGTGATTTAGAATTTTTGTAACTATATTGTAATAGCTTTCTTCCCAGTTGGCAAAAGCAATATTTCAGGCTGAAAGAAATTACCACATTGATCATCTCATTTGTAGAATAGCTATATGGTGACAACAGCATTGAAAAAGGCACTCTATCTATGTGTCCCTGCTGGCAAAAGCACTGGCAGCAAAAACATCGAATGAATCCCCTACAGTATCTCCCATTCCCCCACCCACCTGAGTCCGAGTCAAAACTATTACACACAAATACAGTTACTACACTTTACAGTAAAATCTTGTGAAGTAGTCTAGAGATTTTTTGATGACTTAATGAAGGGCTGTATCAAATGCGAAGATTATTATTAATATTGTTACCATTTTCTACTCTCTGAAATATTAAATTTAGACTAGGATTTCCTTTGGAAAGAGAATACTAAAAAACACTGAGATCAAGTATATCAATATGTCAGGGCTACACTTGATAACTGCAATCAGAAAATGAACAGAAGTGCAAACACGTCTTTTGTAATAGCCTCAACAAGCTAATAACATTTTTTTTTTACTTTCCTCTCCTCCCCACTGCTCTCCAACCACATATACATCAGTTACTGGACCATCACATTTTGATTATACTGGTCATCAAGCATGTTCTTTAAAGTCAAGACAAACAACTAATGTTTCCGTTCCGATTCCAGCTGTCTCCAGGGACTACATTGGCCATGCTCGCACACTGGACAAAGTGCACAAAGCGAGGGAGCCGCAAATAATCTGTGCTGCATCAGAGTGAATCAGAGGTCATTAAACCACAAGGTTATTCAGGGGGCTACATGCTGCTGTATTTTTTGAATAAATCGTCTTGGTCACCCTCATATCCCACAATGTCTCTTTTCCTATGTATGTTCAAAGTATGGATATGCCTCTCACACATCTATCGCTCCATAATTAACTCAAGACTCCGACAGAGTAATTTGGTATTAGGTTCACACAAGGAGCTCCACCGTTTGTTGAGTAAGATTCGGCATCAGGTTAGGTGGGAGAGGAAGAGATGGAAAGGTAACTTCTGAAGTCCCTCATTCTTCCCTGCCTTCTCTGCCTTTTAAACAATGAGCTTGATGTGACCCAAACATTGCTTACTTTTCAATTTATCTAGTCTTTTCTCCTTTTTCAACACTGGGGGTTGTCCTCTCCAGTGAGCCTAAGCCATTCATCTGGATTTCTCAATTTCAAATCAAAGTAATTTGTACTGTCCTCCTCCACTGCCCAGCAGCCAGAACCAACAAACATACTGGAGAGCTGAGAATGGGTTCCCTCACTCTGTCTGTCTGTGTGTGTGTGTGTGTGTGTGTTGGGAGTAAAGTACCTCACTGGAGTCTGGGAATAGGTTCTGACACTGGGGTGGCTAGGAGTAAGATAAGTACTGTAATACACATGCTTGCCTCAGCATTTCTATGTTCCATTCTTACAGGACTGAATCTTAGATTACAAATTGTAAGGTTACATAAAGCACTGCTAATGTGGTGCCTTCTTAAAAGTCCTTAAATCACTTGATGTGAATTCATTTGGCAATAAGTGAAGCAAGCAGTAAACAGGTTCATTCAAAGCAAATAACCTACCAGTAATGAATCTTTGATAATATCTTCAATTTCCTGTAATGACTTGTAAGGATTTGAAACCAAACTTTCAATAAGATGGATCGCAGTCTGTTCAAGACTAGGAAGGTAGCGTAACCACAGGTTCACAACTGCAGACTCAGACAGGACGATCTTTTTCCTATTTGGATGCGGGTAGAAGGGGGAAGGAGGAAAAGGTAGAGAAAAATAAAAACAAGTTCAGAGCATTCATTTTTATTTAAAATATTCTTGTCATCTAAGTTTAGCATGGTTTCAAATGGCTGTTCAAACTCTTAACCTGAACTTGGCATCTGACCCAGTGACATGATTTCCAGAAATCTGTCCTGGAAACCGGACTCAATAAATGATCTCGTCTCCACTTGCATCACCTCTTAAAGACGAGATAAGACACTATATCAAATGCAAGGATTATTATTATTATAACTCAGTCTCACTATCCCGCACTTTCACAAACAACTGCCTTTCATTCCGCAAGTTTCTCTAACTTACAAACCATCGTCTCTCTGGACATTTTACACCATTTGAGGAAACAAGACTTTTACTCCAGCCTTTCCCTTTCACAGGTTTAGGGCCCATGCAATAACAAATTGACAGTATTCAGACAAACCTGGAAAGCTTTACAGATCACTGAAGACACAAGAATGAGGAATTGGAGGTTACCTCCCACCAAAGTTCAAATGTGCAATTCTGTCAGGAATTTTCAGCACTTCAAACATAAAACCCTCAACATTGCTGTTAAAAGTTACAGCTGCAAGAACTGGAGGAATCAGCCAAGTATAATCTCTTTCTACAATTACTAAAAGGAAAATGTAGATTGGTTCCCAGTCTGCTGTTTTGAATTTATTCCCCTGAGGAAGTTACAAGGTAGCCCCAAGAACAGCGAGAGGAAAATTTAGGATTTTTTTTCACTCCTTGTGTTGTTGGCATGTGAAATACAATACAAAATTATATTTTTATAGCGCCTATCACATCAGGAGGATGTCCCAAGGCACTGGACAGTCAGGGATTTAGACTTGAGCTGGGGGTCGGGATCGGGGAGGGTAGGAGGGTGGCCAAAGGAACGGTTGAAGAGGAGGATTTTGAGATGCCAAGTAGGATGACGGAGTCCACTGCAGCTTTCAAGAGGGAAGTAGACAGGCATTTGAAAGGAGCTTGAAGGGGTATGGCAATAATAATAATAATCCTTGCATTTGATATAGCGCTTTTCACGTCTTCTAGACGTCTCAAAGCGCTTCACAGAATATACTGTAAAGTGAATTGACTGTATATTTGTAGGCGAACGCAGAAGCCAATTGCGCACAGCAATGTCCCACAAACAGTCGTAGATTGAAAATGACCAATTTATTGTTTTGTTTTGGAGGGATTATTATTAGGCGTGTGGAGTAAGGAAACTTGCCCAAGGTTTCGCTCTGCCTGGAATTGAACTCAGGTCTCTCACTTGCAAAGCGAGTGCTCTAACCACTTAGCTACAGGACTCCACTGAGCATTTCAGTCCCAAGGCACTGAATGCTTTGAAATTCTTTCCTTGGTCTGTGAGCCAGTGCAGACTCGATGGGCTGAATGATCTCCTTTCTGCACTGTAGATTTCTACGTTTCTATGTTTGTATGATCCACAAGGATGATTTTAAACCATGATGTAAATACACAAGAACATCATCAAATCTTTCTTTCCAACTTATACGGTGCTTCGCTTACATCTTATACAAGAACCTGCAGCACTTTTAGTGGGATAACAGAAGATTGAGTAGGATTTATCCTATGCCAAATAATATTAATGATCCTCTCCGCATGTCAGGAGGGTGTCTCAAAGTGCTTTGCAGGATTCATTGTAAAGCACAGTGACTGTGTATTTTTGTAGGCAAACTTGATGAATACAATGTAAATATATGCAAAACAAAAAGTTCTCTCTACAATAGCCAAGTTCAGAAAAAANGAGAATATTTGAAATATCCTATTTAAAATACATCAACCATACACTTTTCTGATTTTGCTTGATGGCATTGCGAGTGATCCTGTGTTGAAGCAAACGTCACAATATCACTTGTTCTGATGTTAATGAAAATAAAGCCTGTTTGCACCCATCCTTTGGTAACTACAAGCATGCTATAAAAGACCTTACGTGACTGGAGAAGAATAATGCAGCATAAAACAACTAAGTTTGAAAAAAGCCTCAATGTTTAGCATAGATTGTAAAAGTAAAATCTATAAGTGTTAACCATTAAAAGGTTTAATGATCTTTTGAGCCCAAAGCCTCATAGTTCAAGTGTTTAGAATTAATAGCTCTTTAGAAGAGCATAACAAAGAGCAAAATAGTTCCTTCCACACATCATACAGACCTAACCCGTTGTGGACATCACATCACCTACACTGGACCACTAGGTCAAATCCTGCTTCACCCCGACACAAAAAATACAGTCAATCTACTTTACAGTATACCCTGTGAAGCACTTTGAAATCTCTCAACAATGTGATAAAGCACTATATCAAATCAAAGATTATTATATTATTATAACCAAAGACACCCAACACAGATATGATGGAAGTCCTGTAGCTTAGTGTTAGAGCACTCGCCTCGCAAGCGAGGGAGCTGGGTTCGATTCCCGGGCAGGGCGAAACTTTGGGCAAGTTTCCTTACTCCACACGCCTCTGTTTACCTAGCAGTAAATAGGAACTCGATTGCTAGTCGATTGGCAGATTGCTTTCCAGGAGTAATAATCCCTTCAAAAAAATAAATAATAATAATTTGGTCACTCAAATGGTCACTTTGGTCACAACTATTTGTGGAACACTGCTGTGCTGCCATGTTTCACCCACAAAATATACAATCAATTCACTTAACAGTATATTCCTTGAAGCGTTTTGAGATGTCTCAAAGACGTGATAATGCGCTACATCAAAATGCAAGAATTATTATTATTATATTATTATGGTCTGATTGCCTTTTTACTATCCTGTAAAATTTCTATGGCTGCATGGTTCCAAACAGAATACCCGCATCTGCACTATTCAAACCCAGCCTTCCTCACTCTCTCATTCCCTCCAAGTAGAACAGAAAGTATTGTGGCCATGAAGCATTTGTTCAATCCTTATCTAATCCTATATCTTCTAATTATAGACGTCCAGGTGTATATATTTGAACATTGGACACAAGGGCAGTTTTCAGCGCATCAATTTATGAGAAAGAAGCCACGACATGATGATCTGGCATCACGACAGGATGGGATTTATCAAGTCGGATTAAAAGGTTTACAATTTATTGATGGACGAGTTTGGCTGTACAAGCGTACAGCATTCAGCACATGGCTGATGTCAAAGGTAACCCCAGGATTCAGTCTTCATCAGCCGTGATTTATACATTTCTTTAAAATAACATTGAGATCTCATGTTGGCAATCTCTGACGTTTCCAGATGTGCTCACTCATTTTCAAAACTAAACATTTGGTGAAGTTCAATTTTCTCCTATTTCCTGGATACAGAGAGTTCATGTCGGGAACCAGCCGTTTCATAAAACAAGCCAATTTTTTTTGCACAAATTCACAAACTAACTGTTCCTACAGTGTATGTATGCTTTTTTTTCTAAAAATCATAAAAATTTAATTTTTTAACTTCATTTTCAGAAGACTCTGTGGGATAATGCACACACGTGCAAAATATATCTGCAATTAATACAAAAAGCAAACTTTAGGAAGCAATCTTTTGAGCAACAATTAAACAAACTTAGTTAAAAAGAGAGTGTATCTTGTGGAAAATTAACTCGCTGCTGCCTAATGGTTGGAAGAAAGAAAGTGCTGTCAATTAGCGTGCTAGAGACAGAATGAACCAACATAATATTGTACCAATACATTTATTCTGTTTCTCCATAATTTATTACACACAATTCTCATGTTTTACACAATACAATCTATTGTATTTGCAGCACCTTTTTAGGAATAAAAAAAAGCATACAACAGATTTCTCGGTCAAAGAAATTAAAATATTATTCCACACTGAGAATTTACAAACATTTATATTGTAAAGCAAATAAACTTACTTCAACCATACCATTTGTACAATGAGTTAAATTCAATTTCATGCATTACTATCAGCATTATTTATCAATAATTCATACTGGCAAGCATGATAACAACCATTAGTCTAGTGAGTTTTTATTCCTGCATTCTAATAAAGAACATTTTTTCTGTTGATTGATGCGTTCTCTCAAATAACTCCTGTTTTAGCTCCAATTTATATAAACAAGAAAGCTCGATCTTATACCGCATTCCTGTGCACTATCAGGACCACTATCCTATCCATACACCTTATTGTTCACATATTTAATTCAATTTAAATGTTTAATTTGCCCACAAATACACAGTCACTATATTTGGCAGCAATTACCTGTGAAACAATTGAAAATGTTTCAACATTAATAATAATAATTAATAATAACCCTTGCATTTGATATAGTGCCTTATCACGTCTTCGAGACGTCTCAAACCGCTTCACAGAATATACTGAAAGGTGAATTTACTATATATTTTATGGGCGAAACACGGCAGCCAATTGGGCACAGCAGAGTCCCACAAACAGTTGTGGACTGAGTGACCAATGTTTTTTTTGAAGGAATTATTATCCCTGGAAACGTGATTCGCCAATCGACTAACAACTGAGTTCCTACTTACTGCTAGGTGAACAGAAGCATACGGTGTAAGGAAACCTGCCCAACGTTCTGCCCTGCTGGGAATCGAACCCGGGTCTCTCGTTTGCGAGGCGAGTGCTCTAAACTGAGCTACAGGACTTGACAATATGTGGAATGCAAAGATTACCATTCATTTACACAACAACAACAACTTGGATTTATATAGCGCCCTCCGTACCGGACGGCGTCTCAGAGCGCTTCACAGTAACGGATCCCAGGGCCGAGCCAGGGGGAGGGGGAGGAAGGTGACCAAAGGTACGGTCGTGAAGAAAGGTTTTCAGCAGAGACCTGAAAATGGGAAGGGAGGGAGCGAGGCGAAGGGAGTGAGGAAGGGAGTTCCAGAGCCTCGGGGCATAGTGGCTGAAGGCACGGCCGCAGAGGGTGGAGCAGAGGTCTCGGGGGACAAGGAGAAAGCCAGACCCGGAGGAACGAAGGCAATGGGCACTGTTTTGAGGAACGAG